TTTTGCCATGTAGCCCAAGCTGAACTTGAACTCGTGACCCTCCTTCCTCTGCCTCCTGAGTGCTGGTGATATAAGCCTGTGCCACCCCACTCAGCACTGTGATGGCGCTTTAATGGCTTTCCACTGTTTCTAGATTAAAGCACAGCTGGAATACTATCTAGGATAAAGTCTGACCATCCTAGCTTGTCAGAAGTGAGGGGTTTCTTGGATGCTGATTTTCACTGATAAAACTTGGAAAGCCTTAGGAAAACCCTGTCCCAAAAAGGCAGGACAGGGCACAGCAATCAATACCTTTCCAAACTTGATTTGTATTTTCCCAGCAGGATCTCTCACCACCCTCATCCTTTCCAAAAGTCCTCCTCTCTACCTCCCCTGCAGCCCAGCCACCCCTTCCTGCATAAGGGCAGGAACACACACACACACACACACACACACACACACACACACACACACACACAAAGTGTATTAGGCTTCCTCCTTGGCTTTGTTCACACTGATCCCTGTATCTCCACTATCACCCACTCTTGATGAAAACCCTGCTCCCATGTCACTTATGGAGAGAGAATGAGAAGTAATGCCATTGTACCCTGGCTTTTTGTTGACATGTGAGTCTTTCTTCAGGTCAGAACTAGGATGAGAAGCCACCTAGTAGAGAACAAATTAAAGGATGTATTCACTATTGGGATAACACAAATGCCAACCCTCAATTTGGGTTGGGATCCCAAGAGGCACTGCCTCATGCTAGTCCTAGCCCTGGTCTTTTCTATCAGACTAGAGAGTCCTCAAGAGTGGAGCCCGACTTTGTACTCAGCTTTGTATCTATCCATAATGACAAGCACAAAGCTGGGCACTGAGTAGAAATTTAACCAAACAAATGATATCAGGTCCTTCCTTCTCTGTTCCAAGAGGAAAGAGGTAGGAGTAAGATGATTTGGGGCCCTGTTGTGGACGGGAGCCAGAGAAAGTAAATTTAATAGACTTGACCTTGCCCTGGGCTGAGGAGACAGATGTTTATCATGTGCTTATGCCTTTGGCATCTCACAGAGTTGGGGCTCCTCCTGCTTTTCTAGTCTCCTCAGTTCCTTTCTTTGTCAGCTGGAAACATTCTCAATGGCATTGACATTTTTCTTTTGACACAGGGTCTTCTGTAGCCCAGGCTGGCCTACAATTCCATTTGTAGTGAAGGCTGGTCTGATTTTACCTCCACCTTTTTTTTGAGGCAGGGTCTCACATAGATCAGCCAGGCTTTGAACTCAGCTATGTAGCCAAGGATGACCTTGAAATTCTGATCTCCCCATTTCAGGCATGCACCACTGTGCTCAGTTTTATGTAGTGCTAGGGATGGAACCCAGGATCTTGTGCATGCTAAGCAAGCACTCTACCAACCAAAGTACAGCCTCAGCCCCTGATGGTATCATTTTTGTCCTCCTCTCTTTTCACTCTATTATCCTGGGTGAACTTGTCTACTCCCAGGTCTTTACCGTGAAGCTTTGCAGATGACTTCTACACTAATAAAAACCTCACCTCTCTTCTAAGCTTTAGTCTTGAAATTTTTTTGACAGTACTAGGGGTGGAACCCAGGATGTCATGAATGCTAGGCAAGTGCACTACCACTGAGCTACAGCCCAAACCCAGTCCTGAATTTTTAAATTATTATTATTATTTTTTATTTTACTTATGTATATGTGTGTTTTGTGTAAGTATATGCCACATGTATGCAGATGTCCACTGGGGGCCAGAAGAAGGTGTTGGATCCCCTGGAGCTGGAGGTACAGGCTGCCCTCATTGTGAGCTGCCCCACTTGGGTGCTGGGAATCAGGGTCCTCTGGAAGAACAGGAATCACTCTTAACTGCTGAGCCATCTCTCCAGCCCCCTGAATTTAAAAAGTTATATTGTCACTTATTTATTTTATGTATGTGGACATAAGCATGCTACCGTATCTATATGGAGTACAGAGGACAACTTGTGAGAGTCAATCTGTCCTTTCACCATGTGGATCCTGGGAATCAAACTCGGGTTGTCAGGCTTGGCAGCAAGTGCCTTTACCTGCTGAGCCAGGTTCCCCAGTCCTGAATTTCTAAATGCCTAGTATATATGGTAACATCAATTATTATTTGCTTTCATATCAATTTTCTTTGTTTTTCTCTGTCTTTTTTTTTCAAGACAGGCTCTTTCTAAGCACCACCAGCTGGCCTCAAACTTGAAGTAATCCTCCTGACTTGACCTCTCAAGTGCTGGTATTACAGGCACGAGCCACCACAACACAACACCTGGCACGTGCCTGAGAGAAAGCAGGCAAGGAGGGTAGATATGTGTGGCAGCCAGAAGACAACTTTCAGGAGTAGGTTCTGTCCTTCCAACTTGGCAGCAAGTGCCTTTACCCGCTGAGCTATCTTACCAGCCCCATACCCATGTTCTCACCTGACTTTCTCAGCAATTCTATGAGAAAATCAAGGCAGAGCTGGGTCTGGTGATATGGACCTGTAATCTCAACACTTGGGAGGCTGAGGCAGTTTGAGTTTGAGATCAGTCGGCTACAAAGTGAAACTCGGTCATAAAAATTTTTTTAAAAAATAAAAACGAGCAAAAAAAAAGTCAAAGGAGACTATGCACTCACTGCTTTTAGGAGAAGCTCAAGAAGGTAGATCTGCTCAAGTTTTCATGGCAGAGCTAAGATTAGGAAGTCAAGCTAGGGCACTCATTCTGCTGTGCCATGTTACATGGCCCAACATGGCTATTCCAAGATTCTTAAACTCACATGATCAAAACCTCCACTTATTATCAGTCTCCTTCTGCTCCTAACAAAACCCCCAAACAAATAACAACAAAAACCCTGCCATCCTGGTTAAAGGTACCTCTCACTGTTTTGTTTTTTAAATGAGACAGAGTCTTGCTCTGTAGCCTAGGCTGGCTTAGAATTTAGGTGCATTCTTGGCCTCCTGCTGAGATTACAAGCACTCACCACCACACTGGCATTGGTTAAAGGTATTTCACTCTCCCAATAATCAAGGCTAGAAACTTGGGCTCCATGTTCAATTCTTCCCTTTGTCAACTCTCACTTCCATTCATTCACCAGATCCTACAGACTTGATCTTCAAAATGTCTGAAGCTTTATTTAAAATTTTTATTTATTTATTTATTTATTTATTGTCTTTTTGAGACAGGGTCTCCTTGTAGCCCCAGCTGTCCTGGAACTATGTAGACCAGGCTGGCCTCGAACTCACAAAGATCCACCTGGCTCTGCCTCCCACGTGCTGGGCTTAAAGGCATGTGCCACCACGCCCAGCCCTATTTAAAATTTTTAAATTAAAAAAATAATTTTTTTCATTTTTCTGGCTCCTTTTTCTACTTTCTTTTAAAAATAGTTTTATTGTTATTGAATTTTTGCGATTTTCATACAATATAGTTTGATAGTATTTAGATCCCCTCCCCTATCTGCACCTCCCCCCAAATTTTTCTTATGTACATAGGTGTTCTGTCTGCATGTATGTAAGTGTACCACATAAGTGCAGTGCCCACAGAAGGCAGAAGAGGGAGTTCAGTCCCTTGGAACTGGAGTTACAGACCCTTGTGAGCTTCCATGTAGGTACTGGGAACCAAATCTGTCTTCTGCAAGAGCAGCAGGTGCTTTTAACTGCTGAGCCATCTTTCCAGCTCCCGAATTGTTTTTGATGTCTAAAACTTATTTTGAAGGAAGATGTGGAGGCATATGTCTGTAATCCCAGTACTTTCGAGGCAGTGGCTGGTGGCTCTCTGTGAGTTAGAGGCCAGCCTGGACCATAGCAAGTCCCAGGCTGGTCAGGGCTGCATTGTGAGACCCTGTCTCAGAAAAAGATTTTTTCATTTTTCAAGTATTTTAAAAATCTTTATTATGTGTATGTGTACATGTATAGAGGCCAGAAGTCTCTTCAGGAGTCTGTGGGTTCTCGTCTTTCACCTTGGGTTCCAGGAATCAAACTCATGCTTGTGTGACCAGCACTTTTACCCACTAAACCATCTCAAGGGCCCAAAATTTTATTTTTTTTTCCCCTTCACTCATCAAAAATTTATTTTAACCCATCTTCTTTTATCCTCCCATATCACCAAGCCCTTGTGAAGGCCCACAATACCTTAGTCATACTCCTTCCACCCACCTGCAGGCTTTCAGGCCTTCCCCTCCATTCTTAAGACTGTTCTAGGGGTCTTCTCCCTGAAACAACAGATAAGGCTGCTGCTCTGAAAAATTCCGGCCTTGCAGTCTCATCTCTAAACCTGTGGTTTCCCAATCCCTCCCAGTTTGTCTTTGAGGCCCAAGTCAAATGACACCTCCTTAGCGAACTCTCACACAGCCTAACTGTAACTTTGAAGGGGGTTCTTTATTCCTCTGCTCTCCCATAGCCCTGTTACTTCATTCTGCCTGTATTATGATCTTGTTGGTTGATCCCTTAGATTGGGAGCCTACTGGATACAGGTTAACTGGTCGAATCAATGTCTTTCTTGAAACACATAAAATTTATATATGTATATTGGGTCCTTAAGCCAATTAAAGGCCCAATATAAATATATGTGTGTATAGTATTTTATGTGTATGCACGTTTTGCCTACATGTATGTATGTGCACCATGAGCAAAGGCCAGAGGAGTTACGGATGGTTGCTAGCGCCACCGGTGCTGGAAATTGAACCCAAACCTGTACAGGAACAGCAAGTGCTCTTAACCACTGAGCCATTTCTCCAGTCCTTACAGATATTTTTTTGAGACAGAGTTTTATGTAGCCCAGGTTGGTCTCAAACTTGCTGTGTAGCTGAGGATAATCCTCAAAGAATGCTTTGATTTTTTTTTCTGAAGTGCCTGAAAACTTAAATTGAACGATTAAATTTCTGATAACTCATTCAATGAGGTAGGTAAAAATGACTCTCAGAGACTGACTTCTTTATACCTCAAAGATCTGCAGTTGGTGTTACTCCTCTAGATCGCTCTCCCTCTAAACCCCACTGTCCCTCCCCCAGAAAAAGCAAAAGACAATTTTAATTCTTTATTTGAAACAAACAATTCCAGAGACAGAAGGTTAGTCATGACAACAGCTTCTCACTACAACACAAGGGTGGGCATGGCTCACTGAAGGAACAGGCCAGGCACCTCAGTACAATATATACAATTTAAACAGTGGCTAAACTGGTGACAGTTATAAAAACACAAAAAGAAGGCTGGGGAACAGCAAAGCCAACAGGGAAAGAACTGGGTACCCCCTTTGCCAGACACTAAATAGTTTTCTGGGCTCACAAAGGCAAGATGGGATAAAGAGATGTAGGCAGTAGGAACAGGACTCATGCCCACAGCTCCTCACCTATCTTTTGACCAAAGACTCCATCCTGCATGACCCAGGCCCCCTGGGTCATGACCTGGCCTGGCTCTGATAATAGGGGGAGAAAAAGAACAGGGAACCCAGCCCCAATCCAAGCCAGAAGGTAGTTTTATGCCTTGGAGCTCTGTTTACAGAACTAAAGGGAGGCAGGTACAGAGGGAGCTAAGCATGTTGACACCATGGCTCATGCCAACCTAAGATGGCAGAGACAGACAAACATATAAATCAAGGGGACAGGAGTCTGCACAACAGGAATCTGCTCCCCATACTTAAGAGTCATTCTCTGCCTTTGAGGAAAAGAAAGCATTTAAAACCTTTAGAAACTGTAGCACCAAGGAGTGGTGCTTGCAGGGTGGGGTAAGGGACATGGTGGTGAAGGGTGCCAACAACCAATTATCTCAGGAGGGATAAGAGTGTCTGAGCTGTGTGCTTTAGGTAAATGGTCCCTTCATTTCTTTCACATCTCTCAGACAAGACCCTTTCACATGGTACTGGGGAAGAGGAGGGAGGAGAGAGGGAGGGAGAAAGAGAAAGGGGGGAGGGTCACAGGGCAGAGAAGGCAGCTGGGTTCTTCCCTAGGTCAGACCTAGGAACACAGGGCTTCACCTACATAGATATAGGTCAGGAAACCCAAAGCCAACAGGATCATCAGAGCTATTAACACTCCACCAGAGTCTGGCCCTAGCAAAAAGGGTTTACTGTGACACATAAAGAAAATGGGCTGGCCCAAGTGTGGTGGCACCCTCGGGAAGCAGAGGCAGGCGGATCTCTGAGTTTGAAACCAGCCTGGTCTACAACCAACCAGGCCAGCCAAGCCTACATAATGAGACCCTATATCCAACAAAAAAAAGCTGGGCTGGTTGGTTTGTGCCCATCACTGGGGGATTAGCCCCTGAGTACAGAAGACTGGAGCCCTATGTTTCTCAAGGGGTATGGACAAAGGTTAAAGCTAGGGATTCCTGGGGAAGGCAGGGAATGAATGAGTAGAAAGACGTAGTCAGGGTCCTTCAGAATGAGTAGCATTTGTTCCTGGGCCAGTCACCCTGCAGGTCAGACACTGATGTGAAAGATGGACACAAGGTACCACATGGGCTCAATCCACGTCTTCTTCCCCAGGACGACCAAGTTCCTCATAAATTTCACGCACAGCCAGAATACGATTGAGCATGCTCTCCAACATGCTTCGGTCCATAGGAATCACAGAATACCAGAGAGGTGACTCGGCTATGCAGGACCGCTCAGGTTGCAGGTAGAATACATCATTGCGAGTCCGGAGACTTTCAGGACTACAATGGTGGGGATGGGGGTGGGAGAACAGATGATCAGTAACAAGGCAAAGTAGGCCTCTTAGGTCCACATGCTTTCATTCCAATAAACTCAACTACTCACCATTTTGAGAGATAGAACTCATAGAACTTGACAGGGCAGCGGAGAGGATTCATGCGATTCTCACGCTGTTCTAAGATAGGGGCTTCATCTTCTCTCTTCCGTTTCCCAGGACCCGTGTCTGCAATGAAGGGAAGTGACCCAGACTCATTATGAGCACAACCCCAATGAGCCACCTCCCAAGCACAGTCCAGAGTACAGTCCAGGGCAAAGATAAGGCCTCAGGTCACAAAATACAGTTTTGTAAAGAAATAAAGGGAGAATAAAAGGAGGATGGGGTGTACATAAGTGAAAAGTGATTGCCTAGTATACACAAGGCTCTGGGTTCTAGCTCCAATACTGAAAACTTAAAAAAGGAGAGAAAGAAGTAAAGAGAGGAGGGAGGGAAGGAAAGGAGAAGAGCTGATCAGTTTTCCACACTAACCAAGCAGCCTGTAGGTGCATTGTTCTGCTGCCCTCCCAAGTTCTTCCTGACACAGTGCTTATAATCACCTCCAAGTTGGCATTTTTTAATTTTTTATTTTATGTGTATGAGTGTACTGTCTGCATGTATGTAAGTGCACCTGTGTCATGCAATGTGTGTAACAGCTGTGTCATGCAATGCCCGCAGATGTCAGAAGAAGGCATCAGATCCTCTGAACTGGAGTTACAGACAGTTGTTAACCACCATGTGGGTGCTGGGAACCAAACCGAGGTCCTTTGCAAGAGCAGTTAGTGCTCTTAACCGCAGAGCCATCTCTCCAGCTCCCCAAGTTGGTATTTTTTGAGATAGGGTCTTCCCTGTAGCCCCAGCTGGCCTGGAACTCACTATGTAAACAAGGCTGGCCTTGATCTCACAGAGATCCACCAGCCTCTGCCTCCTGAATGCTGGGTATAAAGGCATGTGTCACCATACCCAGCTCCAAGTTGGTATTTTAAAAAGGTAATCTCACAAGTTATACAAAATAACTGGTAAAACAGACTGTTGGAAGGTTGGTCTTGCTTGGTCTTGCCTTCAGGTTAGAGAACAAATGATGGCCACAACCTCTGTACGTCAGTCTAGGTACAGGCACAGTTCCAGGGAGGGAAACTTGTGACCCACACTCAGGATAGACTTCCAGGGCCAGTAAGAATGGAAACAAGTGTCCTTTTTCCACCGGTATGCATATTTTTAAATTATTTTTATTTGTATGTGTAAGTGCATGTTTGTGTTGTACATGTGTACATGAAGGTACATATGTGCATGAAGGTTCATGTGCACATGCACATGTGTGTATGCACATGTTGAAGCCAGAGGCTGACACTGGGTGTCTTCCTCTATCAATCTCTACCCTTATTCTGAGACAGAGTCTCTCACTGGGTCTGGATCTCTACCTTATTCTGAAATAGTCTCTCTCTGGACCTGGAGTTCACCAACTGTCTACATTGATGGCCAATGAGCTCTGGGGATCCACTTGTCTCTTCTATCACCCCGCCATCAGCTCTAGGTTATAGACAAAGGTCACCATGCCCAGGTTTCTGTGAGTGCTGGGGATCCAAACTCAGGTCCTTGTGTTTATGTGGCTCATAAAGGCACTTTGCTGACCAAGCCATGTCCCCAGTCCCCAGTATGTAGTTTTTGAATCACAGAAAGGATTGTCATTCACTCTCAGCTCTCACTGATAGTCAAACACACCTAACAGCTTACTACCTGTCCACCTTCACCCCCCTCCAAATGCAAGCAAGTAAACTGCCTTAAAATGATGGAAGTTGGGAAACAGGCAGTTGACTGCTCTCCTATTATGAAATAGTCACTGTCTACCAGTTAGAATGACTAGCTGTTTTCATCTTTTCTGAAAACACAGAGAAGCTAGTGGCAAAGCAGATCAACCTAACAGGTATAGTGAGAATACCAGGAGAAAGAGAAAGGGTAAAAGCAAAGTGGGGGATAGCCTCATACCTCGCCCTTTCCTCTGGCGGACTGGGGCATAGTAGCGGATGCTCACCACCTTTGTGGTGCCCCGAGGAGTGGTACACTTGCGGGACTGCCGTACCACATTAGTGAAAGATAGCTGCATATGTTCCTCAGCTGTCTGCAGCCCAAAAAACTTAGTGTTGAAGAACATGAGGGTGTTGAGAAGAACAAAGGGCGAATAGACCCCTAGTTGCTTGCACTCCCAGAGGTGCTCTTCCTCCACACGGGAGAATACAGTATCTGTGACGGACAAAGGAAAAGACAAAAGGGATTGGCTTCGCAAACTCAACCACTTCTTCCAACCTGGGATCCTGCGTACACACTCACCTAACTGCATGCTTCTTATTGTATGTAAACCTTAACACCTAAACTACATTGTAGGACTGGGCTTTTTTTGAGACAGGGTCTTCCTGTAGCCCCAGTTGGCCTGGAACTCCCTACACAGACCAGAATGGCCTGGATCTTAGCCAGCCTGCCTCTGCCTCCAGTGCTGGGATTAAAGGCATATACCACCCCGCCCAGCTAGAATAAGCATTTTTTATATACTTTCCACTCACATGCAACACTTCTCTGATCACCTTCAAGTTGCATGCTCCTAAACCTAAGGAGCTCCACATCTTGCTTGCTTTCTTAACTTACCACCCAAAACTAGACTTTTTTCAGACCTCAAGTCTTTTTTTTTTCTTTTTGAGAAAAAGTCTCCTTATGTAGTCCACTCTGACCTTGAGATCCTCTTGCCTCAGTCTCCCAAGTAGCTTGAGCTACAGGCACATATCACTGCACCTCGTTCAGATCTAACCCTTGACCCTCTCGTGCTCTTTTTGAGACAGGATCTCCCTCTAGCCCCAGCTGGCCTGGAACTTGCTATGTAGACCAGGCTGGCCTCAAACTCACAGAGATCTGCCTGCCTCTGCCTCCCAAGTGCTGGGATTATCATATTTTTTTTTTGGTCTTTTTGAGACAGGGTCTCCCTGTAGCCCCAGCTGTCCTGGAATTCACTATGTAGACCAGGCTGGCCTTGAACTCACAAAGATCTGACTGCCTCTGCCTCCCAAGTGCTGGGATTAAAGGCATGTGCCACCACACCCGGCATCATGTTCTTTTTTTAAAATGCCAGGGTCTCACTACATAGCTCAGGTAGAGGCAGAAGAACTTAAAATTCTTCTGCTTCAGCCTCTGCAGTGCTGGGATTATAGGCATGCATCACCACATGTGGCTTTCTTTCTCATGTTCAAAAGGCATGGGCTCCTGCTCCTCTAGCTTGAGACCCTGAGGCATCCAGCTACAAGCTCCTATCCTTGAACACTTAGTGAAGAGTGGCATGTCAGACAGCACAAGGCTCTTGTAGTTATGTATTGGAAAAAGGAAGGGTGGCTAAGTCCCTGTTCCTTACTGTTGGGGAGGAGTGTGGGCTGCCAGGTACTCAGAGACTTGTTGAGTTCTTGGACGAAAGTCAGGTAGTAAAGGTCCGTGAAAATGTTCACCATTCGGTTATTTTCCAGCAAATACTAGATAAAGAAAAACAGACATACATAAAGCCAGACTGTAGGTTCTAAAGGAAAGACAATGATAGGGAGAGCTTCAGGCATGGTCCTTGATAATTAGAAGAGGATGGGAGGCAGCTGCTAGATTAGATGACCCAGAATGTTTTCCCTCAGGTGCTCCTACACTGCTTATGTACTGAGGCTTTGCTAGAAGAGGAGGCAGCTCAGAGATGTTCCTCACATGCTCAGATCCCTGTATCAGGTCACAGTGGCTGACCTCTCCCAGTGGGAACTAAATAGTATCCAACTACTGAAGGAGCTCAGCCCCCATATCCTTCCCCAAGAAAGGATTTAAGGATTTAATTATGGGATCCAGATAGCAATGAAGACTGATGCTTGACCAAAAGTCCTGAAATGAAGCACTGATTTTATGAGAGTATTGACATCTTTTTTTTTTCTATTTGTCATAGGAAATTTAGGCAAGTTGCCTATTTCAGGGTAAGAGACAAATGACAAGGAGCGGGCTAGAAACAGTTCTAGTAGGATAGTGTGTACTGTTTTGAAAGCGATGGAAAACAGGGTGGTGTTCAGGGGGTACCTGCTGGATGCCAAGACACAGATAGTAGATACTGTCAGGTTCGTATCGTTCACCATTGGGTCGAGTAATTTCTCTCACAAACTGGGCCAGGCCATAGTTGAGCTCAGCAGCTGAGCAGGCGAGAATATCCTCTTTGATACGCATGGGTTTGGCTGCAGTGATATGTTGTAGAGGTGGACAGGATTAAGAAAACTCCATGTGGAGAATTTCACTTAGCTTCACCTTAACCATTCCGTCACATCTAACTCCCAAACAAACCCATCAATTACAAAGGAAACCCTCAGCCTTGAACCTCGGACAGGATGTCCCTTTAGTCTACAATTCTGCACCATCTTTACAGGACAGGTGATCACACCTTCCTCACTCCTAGACATTTTCAGTTGATCACACGCATAGCTCCTTTCCCCTTTCCCTCCTCCTCCCTGTGCTTTCTTGCTCCCCAGTACTTACGACCAAAGCGCAGCTCATCACCCTTGCTCGTTTCTCCATTGGCATATTTTGACTGTACCCAGCACTTCCAAGCATTGACACCATATGAATAGTTGAGACCAGTACAACTAGGCTGGCTGCTCATGGAGTCCCGTGAACAGCTTTCAGAAAGCACCAGCCTCTTTTGACCCTGAAAGGGAAGAAAAAGGGAGGATGGTGGCAAAGGCAAGGCCAGGGTACCATGGAAGCTAGTCACAACTGCGGATGGGGCACTGATGTAGAAACAAAGAGCTTCCATGGCACAGAGACCCAGAATAGCTCTGATATGACTTTGTGAACTGGGCAAAGAGTCAAGTTTGGCTAGCGTTGGAGAAAGGAGGCCAGGGAAGGTCAAATTAAGCTTTCTGGCTATAGAGCAACTCTATCCCTTCAGATATCCATTTTCTTTTAAAAATATTTTATTTATTATTTTATGTGTATGAGTGTATCCCCTGCATATGTGTAAGTGCACCTGTGTCATGCAATGCCTATGGAGGCCAGTAGAAGGCATCAGATCCCCTAGAACTGGAGTTATGGGCGGTTATTAACTGCCATGTGGGTGCTGGGAATCAAACCCCAGTCCTCTGCAAGAACAGCCATTATTTTTAACTGGTGACCCATGTCTGTAGCCCCCATTTTCTTTTTGTGACTACAGTAACCCACTCCTCACCTTCCTCATAGTTCGAGGAAGGTCTTGTTCAGTAGACACGTCCTCAGGTCCTACCAGGCCACAATCAAAAAGGAAGTCTACACTTGGGTTGATGTCCAAAGGATCTAATAGAAGAGAAAGAAGAAATCAATTTCTTCGTATCTCAACCTGGTAGCCCTCCCATTTATTATTTTATATGTATGAGGGTATTGCCTACACGTGTGTAAGTGCACCCGTGTCATGCAATGCCCTTGGAGGTCAGAAGAAGGCATCAAATACCCTGGAATTGGAGTTACAGATGATTGTTCACCACCATATGGGTACTGGGAATCAAACCTGGGTCCTCTGCAAGAGCAGTCACTGCTCTTAACCACTGAGCCATCTCTCCAGCCCCTCCCATCCCATTCTTGCTACTTTCACGCTTCACTCAAGATGAACCACTTGGTCAGCTTCATTCAACTCAATAGGAACCAGTAAAGCTATATGAAAGGGGCTCAGAGCACAAAAACACCAAACACAAGCCAGGCCTGGTGGCACAGGATTGTAATTCCAGCTACTCGGGATGATGAGGCAGGAAGATTGCAAGTTCAAAGACTATTTGTGCTATGGAGTGAGTTCAAGGCCAGCCTGGGCATCTCACAGGGCTGGGGAAGTAGTTCAGTGGTAAAGTGCTTGCCTAGTATACACAGGCCCTAGATTTAATTCCTAATACCACAAAATTTAAAAAATCCAACTATATTAAACACGAACATTAACAGATTCACAGCAATGCAAAAAATTACTACAGAACTGTACACTTAAAAATGGTGACAGCCAGGTGTGGTGGTGCATGCCTTTAGTCCCAGCACTTGGGAGGCAGAGGCAGGTGGATCTCTGTGAGTTCGAGGCCAGCCTGGTCTACATAGCAAGTTCCAGACCAGCTGAGGCTACAGGGAGGCACTGTCTCAAAAAGACAAAAAAAAAATGGCGACAATGTGGACAGAGGAGACAGCTCAGTCAATAAAGTATTTACCATGTAGTCATGAGAATCTGAGTTTGATCCCCAGCACCCACATAAGAAGTCAGGCATGGTGGCATGCACTTGTGATCCCTGGGGCTTGCTGACCAGCCAGCCTAGCCTACTTGGCAAGCCCCAGTGCAATGAGAAAGACCCTGTCTCAAAAAAAGGTGGGCAGTGCCTCAGGAATGACACTCAAAGTTTTACTATGGCCTCAACATGTACCCACAGACCCATGAACACCCACACACTCCCACAAAATAAAATAAAATGGTGACAACAGTATAATTTCATATTATGGGTTTTTCCCCCACAAGTAAAAACAATACACACAACTAAATATTAAAAACAAGCCAGCCTGGCATACACCTGTAATCCTAGTACTCAGGAGGCAGAGGCAGGCAGATCTCTGTGAATTCCAGGCCAGACAGGGCTATATAGTGAGACCCTATCTCAAAAAAAAAAATAAAGATTAAAAAACAAGGGCTGTTAATGTAGCTCAGTTGATAGTGTTTGCCTAGCATGCATAAAGCCCCGGGTTTAATCTCTAGCACCATATAAACCCAGAAGGGTGGCACACACCTATAAATCACAGCACTCCCAACCTTGGGAGGAAGAGGGAGGGGGATCATAAGTTCAATATCATCCTCAGCTACACAGTAGTAAGTTTGAGGTCAGCCTGGACTACATGAGACCCTGCCTCAAAAAAAGAACCAAAAAAACCTCCCCAAAACAGTACTCTGTGCTGTCTTGCTATCTCTAAACACTACTGACTGTGAGAACCATCTAAGGGTTACAATGAACACTGTTTAGGGTCATGCTTAGGGCCAGAAGAAATATTCCTTTCCTAATGGCATAAATGCTACCATACTTAGTGGGCACTACTTAAATCCTACTTACTCTTGGGAAAGTCTGCCTCCAAGTCTTGCCCAGGCTCATCTAAGACATTAGCCATCTTAACTGCCATGGCCAGAACATCATCTCGAGCTGGCCCAAACAAGTCACAGTCTTCCAGAAGTCCTTCTGCACTCTGGTTGCTCACAAGATCTGGGAGAAAGAAAAGTCAGCTCAGTCACTGAAGCTCTTTCTCTCACCCATGCAGGCTCTCAGGGGACTGACCGCAGTTATCCCCCCATTCCACTTAGCACCAAGATCACCACTTCCCACCCTCACAGGCAGAGACTAGAAGCACCGTTTCCACCATCACCGCTTTCCACAGCATACCACAAAGATCAGAGGAGGCCTTGTCTAACTCTTCAGCCTCTGCAATCATTTCTGCCATAGCCAGGATGTCGGCCTCCAACGGATTGGATGGGATCTTCACCTTCAGCTCCTCAATGGTCTCCACAATCTTGTCTGTGCTCTCCAAAGTAGTGGGCAAGAACATGGGCACAGGCACCTAGAGGCACAAATCCCAACTAAATGCCAAGAATCACACCAATAGATGAGGGGTGCCAGCTTATGAGAAAAATAAGAGGGTGAGTCTCAACCCTAGAAGGGTAAAGGAGGACCCAGTCAGGAAGGCCAAGGACACTTACTGGGATAGGCATTGAGAAAGGCACCGGGACTTTCTGGCAGTACAGATGCATAGGCACTGGCACAAATATGGGCACTGGGATGGGTAGCACAATCATCTGTGGCTTCCACTCTTCTGCAAACAAGAAAGGAGTCTTTTAGGGCCCTGTTTGATGGGTGACATCTGATCTAGGACCTGATGCTTATCTGTCATCTACAAAAGTTCTAAATGTGTTCAGTGTCATAGACAAAACTTCCCTTGAGCCAAAGGTTGAGAGATAGCCATCTAAGAAATGCCCTGGTCCAGTTCCTGTACATAGGGAGACTGGAGGACTAGGGCTTAGGAATACAGCCTATGGCATGGAGCCCATGGCTTACCTGTCTGACTTCCTTTGGACTTCATTTCCACCTTGCATGAGACTCCCCGGTTCTGCATCAGTGGCTTACACATGGCAGCTTTGTTTTTGCGAGGTGTTGCTGGGGGTGGTGGAGGTGGGGGAGTGGGAGCACTTGGAGCTGATCGAGTCTTCACAGGGATCTGCAGAATCAAAAAACTGTTAGTCCTGCCAACTACAGTACCCTCCTCTAAGATAATCTTCCCTCTTGGCTTTTGCCCTGACCTTGCCCAAATTCCCATTTTCCTCTGGGGTCTTCACTGTGTTGCTGTTTTCCACTTTGGTTTGAGAGGCTGTCTGGGGCTTCGACTCAGAAGACTGACCTGTACATTAAAACAAATAAATGCTCTTTCTACAGGAACTGTTCTCACCCTTGTTCTAGGAGAGCTTTATTAAGAAGCACACCAAAGAGAAATGGGAAGACCAAAGAGAACTGGGAAGTCCAAGATTTCTCTTTCTTCCCACCCCAGGTCTTATCAGGGCCCCAGCAACAGCAACTAAGAAGATTCTTTGCTTCTGACCACCAAGAAGAATGAAACACCATTTCAAAGCAAAGCAAAGCAAACCAAACCAAACAAAACCAAAAACAACCCCACCAACTCTAGACCTTCCATTTAGATAGCCTTCAGGAGTTAAGAATCCCTTGAGAGGCTGAGGGGCCAAGCTAACATTCTAGAAACAGTATCAGTTTTCAGTATCACTAAAGGTAAAGCTTACTTTGACACTTCCCTTTCTCTGAAAACTAACCACAATCCCACATGTCCCATCCTACCTGAGTGGGCACTACTCCCTAAACTTTATATCCTTACAGAAAATCAGTAGGCTCTAACTGCAAGAAGACTTAAACCAGAATACTCCCACAGGTACCCACAGAGTCTGAAAGATAAAAGAACATAGTACTAGGAACTCTGGCTGGGGAACAGATAAAGGCAACAGAGGAAGAAGGGGCTTGACCTAGAATGAAAAGAGCCCAAGCCAGTTCTAACAGAGTCCCAGACTCACTGTTCAGGAGGCTTTCTGGCCCACTCTGGGTATCCAAGTTGGGTTGGTTCTGCTGGCTGTAGAAGCGCAGCAGACACTGTTGGTTGCAGAAATGACGTATTTGCCCACGCCAATGGATGGTCTCCAGCAGCTTCCCCTGGCGCTTACAAGCATGGCACCGAGCAGCCTTAGGGTATTGAGAGCATGGTCAGACCTGCCTCTTTAAAATATGCTAGGCCCTCTCCTCTTCTTTATGGTAAGCCATGTTCCTCCTTTCGGAGATTGGACCAGCTTAAGAGACTGGAGAGATTGGCTCCCCTCCCTGGAGATCTGCCCACACTGGTGTCCATATAACAGTTCACACTCCTGCTGCCTTCTTTCTGATATGGTGACCCTCCTTACCTTGCAGTACCACAGCAGATACTTGCTCTTACAGTCCTCACTGCAAAAGTCCCAGGTGCTGCCATCCAGTTGCTCAGCGACTCCACGTTGGCAGGTTTGGGAGCAGTAAGTACAAGTAATACAGCATAAGCCCAGTTTCTTAGTGAAATCTTGTTTGTACAGTAGCACACAGCCTAGAGGGAGAAAAGAAAACAGCCTGGGGACAGAGGCACAGGTATAAGACCCAACCTTTTCAAAGTGCTATATCTAGAACCTCCTCTAAACTGCCCCTCATGTCCAAAGTCTTAGCATAAATGGGGTGAAGCACCCTGAGAAAGTTCCACCTCAAAGACTGCTTTCCGAGCCTTGCTTCTTTCTCTGCCATTCTCCTTGGCCTTGAGAAACAGGGCTTTTCTCCCTTCCTTACCTTCACTGCAGAAGCTCTTCTCCACCCCACTGAATCGGAGTTTCTCATGCAGGAGTTTCTCCTGCCGGCAGTGCTCACACTGGGAAACCACACCCCGAAGCCGCTTGAAGTCCTCACAGCAATCACGGCAGCAGAACTGGAACACCTGGTCCTGAGGTGGTAACACAGGGCAAAGAGGGCAGAACTATGATATCTGCACCTGATAGGAACAAAGTGAGAACTCCTTCACACATGTGGCAAGATGTGGGTAGGGGGTCTTACCTGCCACTCCAAGACCTCAGGCTTACCACTGAAGAGGCTATGGCAGTAGTGACAGCTCAGGTGAATACCCCCCTCAGGGCTTGTACGCTGGAGGGAAGGAAGACAAGTAAGGGGGGGCAAGTGTGTGTAGTGTTGGGAGGGGAGAGGTCAGGTTTGCTCTTTGCTCTGCCCAGGCCTACCTATCCCAATTCTCCTACCCTTTCTCTATTGCCACACCCTTTCTCCCTGGTCCAGGGTTCTGGAGTACCTGGAACTTGGTCCAGCAGCTGGGGCTGCAGAACTGGTAGACTGTGCGATCAACTTTGTTGTAGTAACAGGGGTCAGAGAGGCTGCGGCGGCAGAAGCTGCAGGGTCGGGGAGGGCCTGGGGCATAGAAAGAAAGAGAAAGAAAAGAGAGAAAGGAAGAGAGAGCACACAGAAGGTGTAAGGCAGGGCAGAGATGGAATAGAAAATCCATGGGAAGACGTGGTTGGGGCTAAGGCTGGGCAGCAGGAATTACTCTAGAAGGGGGAACATGGGAGGTAGAAGGAAGGCCAGCAGGGATCTCAGAGAAGAGGGCTTTGCACCTACCAGTGAGCCCTGCCTGCTTCACTTTGTAAGAAGTGGTACAGCACAGGGAACAGAACAAGCTGGTCTTGCCATTACGATCCACATGTGATAGCATCTCAAAGTTCTTACACAGGGTCTTGCACCAGACACATGGGTACACACGTGTGTTTTTCTGTGAGGATGGGAAAGGAGAGGCTGAGGCTGGATTTGTCCCTTCACTTTTATTTTTAAAATTTTTTAAACATGAAATATTTCAGGCATACAAAAAAGTATAGATGATGATATAACAAACACCTGTGTGCCCACCAGCCAGCTTCAAAAATAAAACATAACAGATACAATTGAAACCCCCTTTATTTGTTTTATTTTTCCCAGACCTCGACCCATCAGGCACCTTTATTTATCACCCAAGAACCACAACCCCCTTCCACAGCCCTCTAACGCACTACTCCCTCGGCCCCACCTTCTTGTATGCCCCCAAGCACGTTGTGTTGCAGAATCGCTTTTGTTGGCCATCATGGAAGAGGAGCTCTGGACCAGGGCTCCCGGTCCTGGTGTAGATGTAAGCCCCACACTGGTCACAACAGTTGGTTTTCAGTCCCTTGTTGGCTCGGAATTTGGAGAAGCAAGAATCACTGCAGAGCCGGTGCACCACGCTGCCATTGCTGACCTCATGTAGAACCTGCCACACACACACATATACACCCTGAACTAAGGCCAGGCCACCACCGCCCACCCCAATTCAAGGACAACACCCCACCTCACCCTAGACCTTTACAGCAGACAGTGGGCCTAGGACCCCCCAACCTGTGCATCAGGCTGCCGAGTTGATGGTGAGGTCCTGGGAGGCAAGGAAGGTCAGCTGCATACATCCTGGAGAAGCTCTAGCTTGAATATGCTCCCTCATAATGGCTACCTTTCCTGCCCAAAGCCCTTTTCCACAGGGCCTGGCCCCCTGTAGTCCCAGAACCAGAGAGGCAGGTGAGAGCTGGCCAGGCTCTATAAATTAGCCCCCAGTGAGTATCCTCACCTCTCCAGTCTTCTGGCATATGCTGCAGCGAGTGGCATCAGCAGGATCCACAGACTGAGGGATTGGGCGCTGCTGCTGGGCCTCATACAGAGACAGACAGACAGATGTGCAGAACTCATGGAAGGAGCCTCCTGAACCAGTCTGTGCCACGACTGAGTCCTTGGTGTTCCAGATTTCCCTGGAGACAGGAACAGGTTTAAGTAGTCTCAGGACAACCCTCTCAGTCTGGCAGCATCCCCTGCACTCCCTAGGATTAGGTTTGATGACCAAAGAGCCAAATACTCTGACCATTTCCCTAAATTAACTCTCAGCTCAATTCTGCTTAGTTTTGACCAATATAATCTCTCTTACCCAGAACTCCCTCCCTCCTGCCCTGCCCACCCTAGGATCTCCACGCACTTCTTGCAGAAGGTACAGGTCTTTCTGCCCAAGGGCTTCTTGGAGAAAGTGGTGAGACAAGATGAAGAGCAGAAGAGCTGAGGCAGCCCCTTGCGCTGATAGGCCGTCTGCCCCTTCTGCAGTGGTGTCCGGCAATGTGCACAAGACATCTTGGTGCCCATTGAAGAGCGCCCAGCCCTCTGTGCCACACTTGAGCGTAGGGACATGCGAGGAGAGCGCCGGGGCCGGAATGGCACAAAGTCCTCATCATTGGGGTCATCTACCATGGCATCAGAATCGTCATCTGACACTGGAACTGTGGAAGTAGGTGGGGTAGTGAGAAAAGACCACTAGACCAATCTCCAGCCATCTGATGGCCAGACCAATAGTTAGTTCAATCTTGATCCTGGGATCCCTGGGACTTCTCTTGTTCTGGCTGTTATACTCCCTCCCCCATTACACTGGTATCTTAAGCTACTCGTATCTGTCACCTATGATTACCCTACAATATTTCAGGAAAGGAAAGGGGACAGAGATGTCAGAGCTGAAACAGGAAACTCTCCACTCTCACTGTTCTTGTTTTCAATTTCTCCCACTGCCCCTGGTTCCCATGCCAACCAATAGCAGAGACAAGCACTTCAGGCTCTGCATAGACAGGAACTACAGGAGCCAGAAGATCTATGCCTTGTCATAATTCCACCTTCAGCTCTTCACACGTGGAATTCCCAGGTCACACTTCCTCAAATCCTACTTACTGCTCTCAGTGGAATCCACAACCTCAGGTTTTGGAGGTTCTGCTCTTCTAACGCGCTCGCTTCTCTTCTGTACCTTGGAAACAGGGGCAGGGAGGAAAACTGACACCAGGGGCAGGCTAACAGGAGTACAAGGTTTGGGGAGGGATGGGAGACAGGAGGGGGAAGGGAGAGTTGGGACCCTTGGCCCATCCCTTAAAAGGGGGAAAGTGGGCTGGACTTCATTCTTAAAAAGCAGGAGACTCAAGAGCTCCCTCCTTTCTTTGACTCTTACAGCACCCCCGCCCCCATGACAACATCTGGGAGGGAAATGAAGGGTCTGTCCTTCCCAGAGCTACAGGGGGAACCAGAGTCTTTCCAAGCCCTCTCCCCTGCCCCCCTCACCCTCTCAGGCGGCTTCTCACTCTCCTTCTCAGTCAGGCCATCCCCTGCAAAGGAAGCAGAAGGCAGCCTAAATCTTGAGCCTGCCCTGGCCACCTCCTCCAGGCCCAACCCCCACCTCCATTCCAGAGGAAGAATTTACTCAAAATTGAAAGGGAAAACTCAAGTGCCTGTGGCTTCTGGGGGCCCCTCTCAGGGTTACCTCAGGCTCTGTACTAAGAGGGGGGAGGGTAATGTGTGTAGCTATTTTTCATTAAAGAAATACATATCTTACCCTTCCAACAGCTTTCTGTCCCAATCATTGGGAGGTAAGAACACATACACACTATTCATGGGGAATTTGTATTTTACCCAGAAAACCAATGTAACCACCCAAAGGGAGAAAGAGGAAAAGAAAACATCAATGCATGGGTAGGTTCCGCCTGGACTCAGGTGGTCATATAAATCCGGAGACCCTTGTCACAACCTAGAGGAAGGATGCCAGTAGGCAGATCAGGGGAGAAACTGGAGCCTGGGGTCTAGGTTGCCCCTCCCCTATCAGAGATGCAATCCTAGATCCTGTCTCTCTACCATTCCCCTGAAATCAGTATGCAGTTAGAGACTTCAGAGCCTAGGTACCATCCATCAATCCCAGAAATCCCACTGCTATATAGAACCAAACAGCTGGAAAAAATCTTAAGAGCCAAAAAGCCTGCTGTTTTCCTTCAAATCCTGAAGGTAGGATCTGGGTACCAAGAGCCCACTGGAATACAAAAAAATGGAACCTCTGCCAAACTCATTCCCTCAAACTACCCCATTCATCCTGCACAGCCCCCCTCCACCCTCCCACCCCTATTTTCTGTAATCTTCACCACACCCCCACTCCTCCCTCCAAAACCCCAAATCCTTTTCCATACATATCCATACTCTTATCTCTCCACCCTCCAGCCCTCCCTCCTCCACTTCCCTGAGCACATAGCCAGCCCTTCTTACCACCACCCTCCGCCCAGCCCCCTCCAGATGATTAGACAACCTACCTGGTAAGGAAGGATGTGCAGCAGGTTTAGAGCCCCCAGGTTTGGTCTGAGAACTGTTGATCCTATCCCCCAGAGTCTCCCCCACTGAAGGGCTAGGGGGGGCATTTGGGCTCTGTGGCTGCCCTCGGGGATGCTCCTCCTCCTGCCCAGGGGAACCCCTTCTCCTCCTAGCTATAGAGGGTGTCGCCTCCTCTTCAATATGGGGAGACTGCAGGGTTATTGGAGAATCTGGAGCCAAAGGTTCTAATAGACCCTCAGGTGAAGAAGGACTGGCCCCAGCCCCTGAATCAGGTGCCACCACCCCAGGGGTCTGGCCCCCTGGTCCAGGCTCTAGGGTCTGCTCCCCTGAATCCCAGGCTAGGGTCCCCTCAGGACCATGGTCCACCTCTGGGGGTGAGGGGGCTTTATAGAGTAGCCCCCCCAGCCCCAGCAGCTCAGTGGCTCCATCCAGTACTACTCCAGGGTCTTTTTCCAGGCCAGAAGGGGTATCAAGCAGGTCTAGGGCTCCCGAGGATGGAGACGGACCAGGGGGAGCCCATCCTCGAGTTGGGGCAGTCTGAGATTCCAGCAGATCCTCTCCAAATTCCATGTCTACTGGAAGGTCTCCAGCCAGGGGCTTCTCTGGAAGGGTCAATGGGTCAAATGGACTGGGGAAATCACTGGGGTCCATGAGGATGGCTGGATATGGGCTGCAGATTAGAAGAGGAGGCAGTAGAGGTGGTCTTAGCCAGAATTATTTTTTCTATAAGCTATGGGACACACCCCGTCATCCACTTGAATTCCTCATTAGCAGCCCACCCACCACAACCGACAGGCATTTCCACAGGCTTCAGTCCCCATGTCCACTCCCCCCCCACACACACAGCGCCCTCTGTAGAGAGTGGCGTTCCCCGCCCTGGCTCGGTGCCCATACTCGCCAAGGCAATTGGTCTCCTACCCTCCCGACACCCCCCCACCGAGACTCCCAGAGCCCTCCCCCCTTAGCCCTCACCCCCCTAACTCGGACTGAACGCCCCCTCAGAGTCTCCTCTGGCCGCCCCCGCCCGGAGCCTTTCCCGCCCCCGCGACCTAAGTCCCTGGTCTCTCCACTCGCTCTGAGAGACCCTTCAGGTCTCGTCTCTACCCATCTTGTCTAGCCCCGCCGCCCCTCCCCGCGGTGCCAGGTCCTCCCTCAGCCCTTCCCCGCCCCCACAAGCTGCCCTTCCTAACCGTCCTCCCGCGCCAGTTACCTTTCAGGGTGGACCACTTCCTCAGCCCGGTCTCCCTTCCCCACAGCTACCCTAGTCCTTCCCTTCTCCTGTTGCCCACCCCCCACCTCAGGCATTTACAGGAAGACATTTTGGAGCTACGATTTCTCCTCAGACCCCCCTCCCGGCTACTGCGAGATCCCGCCTGCAGGTTCGGTTCGGCTTGATCAGTCCCGACCCCTACCTGAGGCAGGGTTAGAGTAACGGCTACAAGCCTAGAACTGCAGACAGCGACGGCCCCGCGCTCCTTCTCCACCTCCCTCCCTAGCAGCCGGGACAGGGGTCGCGGCCCCTTTAAATGGCACCGCCGCTCGCAGCACTGAGCGCTCTGCACCAGGCGGGCGGGCGGCGCCACGGAACAATCCTATTGGCTGGCTCGGGGAGGGGGCTCGCGAGACAGCGCCGGCCCCCGGCGCGAGACTCCCAGCCCAGTGGCCGCCTGGAAATTGCGGAGTGGAGCTCAGTCACTAGGGCTGGAGCTTGAGCCCCCGCCCCGGGCCCCGTTAGTTGAGGAGGAAAAGCTAGCCTCTGGAGCATTGACGCCCGCCCCCGGGGAAGGCGGCGCCCCCCTTTCTACTGAAGGGCCTACTGTACTAAAGACATAAAAATCGGGGAAAAAAACCAGGTCTACGCACCTGCTTCTCTTACCTGGCTCAAGTGTCTGGCCCCCGTCACACCCGTGCCCGCCCTACCTCCTGGAGCCCACTGTACCCGTGATCCCCTCCTCTCATTCAAATGGTTCCCGGTCCCCTCCCCCTCCCCGTGTCGCTCTTCGCTTCCCACTCGTGTTCAGCCCCCCCACCCCGCGTCCCCCCTCAGCAGTCCCTACCTACGCCATGCAGCAGCCGCCAGCCAAGATTACCCTCCCCCTTCCCCACCTCTCCGGGGCCCGCCCCCCAGGCGACTGTTGGGGTAGTGAGTGACAGTGGAGAATGGGGGAGGCAAGGACCCAGCCCTTAAGTGCCCCTCCTCCCCTAGGCTGCAGCCTCAAGGGGCCCCCCTAACCAGTCTGAGAGTCATAGTTACGGGGTGTCTTAAGCTTGCTCTCCAGCCACCCGTGCCAGTTAAATGGCTCTGGCTCAGTGACAACGCCTATGCAGTAACTGTTACTGCCTGATCTGCCTGATGACCACCACCACCACCCCCAGCAGGTCCTGCAAACCTACCCCCCCACCTCCCTCGGTGGCGTTTTAAGTTCTGGGATCATTTCACTGAGTCTTTCTCTCTCTCTCTCTCTCTCTCTCTCTCTCTCGTCTCTCTCTGTCTCTGTCTCTCTGCCTCTGTACCTGCCAGGAGCACTCAGGCAAAGAGACTCCCTAGCTCTCACCTGGATGGTCCTTGGCATGTGGGTGTGGCTAGGATTAAGGCTTGAGAAATGGGGTACGGGGTAGAGGCTACCAGCGTTAGGGCACTACTGACAAAAAGAATCGACGCTGGTTTCCATTCTTGGGCCTCAGAATGGAACACTTTACAAGCCCTCCGGACATTGTCAGGCTAGTTCCCAAGGGCTGTACAGCATTTACTAACATACTAGAGGCTCAGGAAGGGAGTCCCTTCGAAACGTGAAATTTTTTTCCCTCCCTGTGCTAACTCTAGCCTGCCTCTGGCCTTTCCTCTTTCCCACACAAAGCCCCTCCTAGCATAGTCCTTGGGAATTTTACCCACATTTTTACAGAAACCGTGTTTCCCAGCTCCCGGCTTGGCCTTGAGGTTGGCTTTGCTCTCTCCTACATACAGAGATAAATGTAAGTTTTTCCCCCACGTAGGTTGACCTAAACCCAGCTTTCTGTATCTAATCAGTATGCTGTGTACCCATCTCCTACTTTCTTTGTACCTCCCTTTCACATTTTCTGTTTGTTCCTTCTCAGTCGGGACACCTAGTTCTTTTATTTGCCTGCCCCTCCCACCCTGCAACATGTGCCTGGCTCTTTGACTGCTCTGGTGGTAGAATGTTTGGTTACTAGCTTTCAAGTTAAGTAAAGACCATCTAAGAGTGAGGGGTGAATTGGTGCATTATGAATTCCAGAGGCAATGTGGTGTCTTACAAGTGAGTAGGTCCTGGTCTGGCTTAGTGGGCTATTCCAGCTCTTAAGAGGCTGAGTCAGGAAGATGGTGACCTTGAGACCAGTCTAAGCTACTAAGCTACATAGTGAGACCCTGTCTCAAAACCAAAACAAAAACTGGTTCGAGGCTGGTCTACATAATGAGTTCAAGGCCTACCAGGACTACATAGTGAGACCCTGTCTCAAAAAAAAAAAAAAAAAAGCCTGGCCTTTAATCCAGCTTTAATCCCAGCACTCAGGACAGGAGACAGTCAGGTGAATGTCTGTGAGATGGAGGCCAGCCTGCCTGGTCTCCATAGTGAGTTCTAGGCCACCTGGGGCTACAGGGAAACCCTGTCTCAAAAAAGACAAAAGCAAACAGACAAAAACTAGGTATGGTGGCACACAGCTATAATCTCAGCACTAAGGAGGCTGAGGCAAGAGGATCACCTGCAGTTTGAGCCAAGACCTCTTTTTTTAAAAGACCAAAAATGAAACTTCAATTACATTAAACAACAACAACAATAACTGGAGCCTCCAAGATGGTTCAGTAGGTAAAGGCACTTGCTGCCAAGCTTGAGGACCCACATAGTAGGAAAGAATGATTCCTGCAAGTTGTCCTCTGACTTCTACACGAGTGTTATAGGATGCACATGTGCACATAGAGACATGATACACATACATATATGTAAATACACATACATATCTAAATCTATTTTTATTTTATGTGTATGAATGTTCTGCCTGCACTAAGTAAGTTTACCCATGTGTGCAATGCCTATGGAGGCCAGAAGAGGTTGTCAGGATGGTTGTTAGCTGCCATGTGGGTACTGGAAACTCTTAACTGCTGAGCCATCTCTCCAGCCCGTATATGTATTTAAAACTAATAACAGGCTGGGCATGATGGTGCACGCCTTTAGTTCCAACACTGGGCAGGAAGATTTCTGTGAGTTCAAGGCCAACCTGGTCTTCAAGCAAGTTCAAGGGCAGGCAGGGCTATATAGTGAGAACCCTGTCTCAAAGAAACAAACAACAACAAACTAATGATAAGGAATGCCAGATTTGACAACAGTGACACCATTCTGCATGATATTATGATGGTAGATACATGTCAGTATGTATTGTTCAAACTCATACAATGCACAATACTAAGAGTAAACCTAATGCAAACCATGAGCATTGGTTAGTAATGATATGTCAGTGTAGATTTATAGAGTCTAACAAATGTATTAGTCTTGCACTGAATGTTGATAGTTAGGAAGGCTGTGCCTGTGTGGGAACAGGGACTATACAGGAACTCTGTGTACTTTCTGCATAATTTTACTGTGAAACTAAAACTCTGGAAATAAGTCTTTGTTTTTTTGGGTGAGGGTTTTTTTTAAAGTTTTTTTTTCTCTTTTGAATCAGGGTCTCATGTGCCCTGATCTAGTCTTAAACTTGCTATGTAACTGAGGTTGGCCTAGAACTCCCTGTGTAGCCAAGGACGACCTTTAATTTCTGATACTCTTGCCTCCACCTTCCAAATGCTAGGACTAAAGTATGGGTCACCAGGCCTGGCTTATGCTGTGCTGGGGCTCCATCCCAGGGCTTTGTGAATGCTAGGCAACCACTTAACCAACTAAGTAATCTACAGAATATTTTATTTGATTTCATTTTTTTCAGGCTGGGACTTAAACCCAGAGCCTCACACATACTCTACTACTACCTCCCTGGCTCAACTCTTTCATTTTAGTTACACATTTTTTTTCTGATTACCAAAGTATAAATAGGCCAGGCATGGAACCACATGTCTATAATCTCACTTACTCAGGAGGCTGACAGGGAGATACTGAGTTCAAGGCTACATATCAAGACTATATCTCAACTGGGCCTGATGGTGCAGGCCTTTATATAAGCTAGGCTATTCAGGAGATTGAGACAGGAGGACAAAAAGCTTAAAGTCTGTCCTGACTATGGAGTAAGTTTAAAATCAGCCTGAAAAATTTAATGAGACTCTATCTCAAAATAAAAATTAAGGGGCTGGAAAGATGGCTTGGTGGTTAAGAACCTGTACTATTCTTCCAGAAGACTCGAGTTCGATTCCCAATGCCCACGTGGGGCAGCTCACAGCAGCCTGTAACTCTAGCACTGCACTCACATAAACAAACCCACATATACATAAGTAAATAAAAATTAAATAAAAATATTTAAAAATAAAAAAATACAATAAAATTAAGGGGATGGAAAGATGGAGCAGCAGTTAAGAACACTTGCTGCTCTTCCAGAGGACCTGAGTTTGGATCCCAGCACCCACACTGAGCAGCTCACAACTGCCTATAACTCCAGCTCTAAGGGATCTAATGCTCTCTTCTGGCCTCTGTAGGCATGCATGCATGTGCCCATACACACACACACTCAAATGTCATTTTTTTAAAATATTTATTATTTTTATTTTATGTGTATGAGTGTATTGAAGAACAACCAGTGTTCTTAACCTCTGAGCCATCTCTCCAGCCCCACAAATAAGTCTTTAAAAGAAATAAAAAGTAGCTCTTGCTTCCTGTGCCTGTGTGATGATGTGAGAGTTTAGCTTCTGCTGCTCCTGCTCCAGCCACCTCCAGCCACCACGCCTCCCTGCCATGATGGACTGTAATTCCCCTAGAACCGTAAGCTCAAATAAACTCTTCCTTTTATAAATTAAAAAGAAAGAAAGAAAGAAAGAAAGAAAAGAAAGAAAGAAAGAAAGAAAGAAAGAAAGAAAGAAAGAAAGAAAGAAAGAAAGAAAGAAAGAGTAGAAACAAGGCTGGGGATATATTTCAATGGTAAAGCACTTGCTTAGCACTCCTGATAGGCCCTAGGTTCAATTCACAGTGCTGTAAATAGGGAAATATCATATTTCAATATCTGTATCTCTATCTGACTAAATGTTCACTTTAGAGATTTTGGAAAACACAGCCTTTAAGAAAAAAAGGAAGGGGTCTGGCAAGGTATAGTCACACCTCCTTCCCACTCTCATCAAGGAGTTGAGGGGGAGTCAGTTACCCCTCCCACCCAATCAGTCAACCTTAGCTGCATGTGGGGGAAGGGGCAAAGGATACATAAGCCAAGAACATGTAACTGTAACTCCAGTTCCAGGAGATCTGACACCCTCTTCTGACCTCCTTGGGCATTACACCACATGATGCACTTTATGTGCAGACAAAACACTCATCCACATAAAATAATTTTTTTTTAATTTAAATAAGAGCTGGAGAGATGGCTCAGCAGTTAAGAGCCCTGGCTGCTCTCACAGAGGACCCAGGTTCTGTTCCCAGCACCCTCATGACAACTAACAATCCTCCATAACTCCAGTTCCAGTGGATCTGACACCCTCTTATGGCCTCTGTAGACTTTGCAGGCATGTAGTGCACTTACATATATATGGGCAAAACACTCATATAGATGAAATATAAATAAACCAAAAAGTAAATAAAAATAAGATCAAAAATAAAAAATAAGTGATAATCACTTCTATCTTACTACCTGAAGACAACCACTGCACTTTTAAATGTACTTTTTGGTATGGGGTGTCAAACCTAGGGGCCTTGTACTTTCCAAGACTTGTTCTACCACAGAGCTACCCTAGGTTCTTTTTTATTGCTTTTATCTGCTTGTTTGCATTTTGGAGCTGGAGAGATGGCTCAGCATTGGCTATTCTTGCAGAGGATACAAGTTCGGTTCTCAGTACCCACATGGTGTCTCTGCAACCATCTGTAACTCCAGTTCCAGGGGATCCGATGTCCCCTTCTGGCCTCTGTGGGTATTGCATGCACATGCACATAACATACATGTAGGCAAAACATTTATACACATAAAATAAATAAAACAAAAAATTACAAAAAGGATGCTATGCTTTTTGAGTCAGAGTCAGCAATGGAGGTCTTAAAGGAGGTGTAGAAGGGTTGGGGGAGTTCTTCAGAGAAACAGTGAGAAAGCCCAGTATAAGGGGAAGCATACTTAAGATTTTGGCCTGTATCCAAAGAAGAGCTAGAAATGGGAAAAAGGAAAGGTATGCTTCTGAGTTAGAACTAGGAAAAATGGGCAGGCTTAGCAGTGAAAATCAGTGTTTTGATTTTGGAGCCATTGTCTTACCAAGTATACTAGACTGGCCTTGAACTCTCAATCCTTCTGTCTCAGCCTCCTCCGTGCCCAAAGATAGGTGGCTATTTAAATTTGAGCTCTAATTAAAATTAAATAGAAGCTCATGTGGTGGTAAATGCCTGTAAACCCAGTGCTTAGGGAGGAGGCAGCAGGAAGATCACCAATTCAAGGCCACCCAGGACTACATAGTAAGACCCTGTTACTACCCCTCTGCCCCCAGAAGAAGTAAAATAAAAAGTTCATCTCTCAGACCTTGTGGTTCAGGCCTATAATCCCAGCTACTCAGGAGACTGAGGTAGTGGATCATATATGTTCAAGGTCAGCCTGGTCTACAGAGGAGTTCAAGGCCAGCCTGGGCAACTTAATGAGACCTTACCTCAAAATAAAAATTGATGAGGACTAGGGAATTATTTGCTTAGCATATGTGTCTTCTAAGTTTAATCTTCAGTACTGTAAGAGAGACAGAGAGACAGATTCATAGAGGGGATGGAAATACGGCTGGTAGCTACTGAATTGAACAGATAAGCAACAGAACCTTCCCATCACCGTTAGGAATCTTATTAGCACAAGTCTAGATAGATCACTGTGACCTCACATCAAGGTAGTGCCAATTGGGATACTCTACCATCCAGGGTAGGAATTAATTAGTGGGCATTATCTACTAATTCCTATCAATTGAACCTTATAATCCTTGGTTAACTGCCTGGGTGAGTGAGGCATTACCGAAACAATGAAGGTCATTATTACCTGATAGGCCTCCTATAGGATATATATAGAGTAGATGTGACCCGCCACTATATACGTCCTTGGCACTGCCCTGCCGACCAACCTGTTGAATCTCTCTCTGTGATAGGAACTGCGGCAATGTTTGGACTACCAGGTTCTCTGGTTACCATGGAAATGGTGCTGGTTACAGTTCTGGGTAATCACAGAGAGATTAAAGTGTCGAAAATTCCCTTGCCCTCCTGCCCCTTTCTATAACGATGACCATTTCAGTTGCACTTCCCGAACATCCCTGGCAGCAGGAGAGGAAACTAGAAAGGTACGGGGTATCAGGGTGCAAGCTTTAATGAGGAAGTGTGAAAAAAAGAAACATGGCGGGGCATTTTTTTTTTCCAGCAAGATCTGCCACACTGACTACAATGACATTGTTAGGCTTGTTTCTTGCACAGGCGCAGTGCAGGAATTCTCAGATCACGCCTACGCCCGAATTTTCTCCCCTTTTCTCTCCATTTTCCTCTCTCCTTTTCCTCTCCTTTCCTCCTCCCACCACTCAGGCTTTCAGTTCTTCCGTTAGACCGTTGAAGTCTCTCCTTCCGACCCCCTACTCTCCACCGCTAGCTCCCCTCCCCCTTCCTTTTCCTCTCGTGCACACTACCTCTGAAGCATGCGCATAACGTACAAAGTCTCGCTCTTTGTCCCCCATCTGCCGTTCACACGAACCCAAGGCTCCAGCGGTCAGCAGCCAATAGAATCTACGAAATGGCGGACAAATGATTCCGCCTCTGGAGATAAACGTTAATTGGCAGTTCCCGTAGCCAATCGGGAATGGAACATCGAGCCCCTTGGGAGGCACCGAGCTCTGTCGGCTCGTTTCCGGCGGTCGCGCGCTCTTTTCTCGGGACGGTGGAGGCTGTGCAGCGTCGCCGTTAGTCTGAGCAAAGAACTGTCGGCTCTGGGTGAGTTTTGGAGCGTCTTGACTGACGTTTGGGAGGGCTATGGGGTTTCCCACGGCGACCCGTGAAAGAAGGGGCTAGAGCGAGGCGGAGTTTGAGGAGAGGATGTGGGTTCCAAGGCGCCCTGAGGCCTTGTTCCCGCTGGGAGCGGCCTCCGCAGCCCCCGCAGCCCACCCGCGGGCCCTGCTCGCTCCCCTCGCCTCGCTGGGGCGTTTAGACCGTTCCTCGTTCGCTTGCTTTCTCGCCCGGTTTCTTTGTGCCACTCAGCCCGGAGTAAGTTGGCGGCCTCAGAGCCGCGCCGGGCCCGAGGTTGTGGGGTCTATTATGCGAAAGCCTTGAAGTGTGGTGGTTGCAAGGAGGAGGCGCTTTGTCGGACGCTCCACCTCCTCAGCCCCGCGAGGCCATTAATTCCGAATGGGCCAGCGTGGGGCCTAGAGCTATGTTTCTTTGTGAAACTATTACAGTGGGATGTTCTGCTAGTTCAGACCCCCTGGCTTTCGGAGCAAGTTCTTGAACACCCCCTCCCCCCTTTTTTCCTCACAGTTTAGTTGTTTTTTTTTTTTTGAGCCATTTTTAGCATCGCTTTTCTAAATGAAACTTAGATTGATAGCTTTCCTTTCAAGGCTTTCCCAATTTGTGGAAGTCTTGTTGTAAGCTGACATCTTTTCTTTGTGATTTTTAACAGAAGTCGAGGTTAGAGAGGACTGGGAAGCACTTGCTGTGTTCAATCGAAGTGCAGGTAGGTGTAAAGGGGGTACATGGGGTTAACCAGATAAAGTTCAGGGTGCCCAGTTGAATAGACGACAGATTAATTTTTTGTGGACTTTTCATAGTATTTACGTAAACCGATTTTTAGTTAAAATTCTGAAATAAAAATGTAACTGTGCTGTTTTGTGGTGTTTTTTTTTTTCTTCTAACTTTGGCAATGGTTAGTTGTGGGGTAATGGTTAGATTTATATATTTTTTTCTAACTTCCTTGTTATTAAGTGAAAAGTTCTACGAAACTCAGCAAAGATTCTAACCGTGTCTGTATTTTACAGCTTTCAGGGTAGCCCGTGAGATGGCCATCTCAGTCTGGGAAATTTACACTGGCCTTGTCCACCAGTTTCTTCTTAATAGTTTGACTTCACAGAATTGAGAGTTGTTGATTTAGATTGCAGATATGTGTGACTAGGGACTCACCTAAACATTTGCTTTATTTTATTTTATCTTATTTTTAGTATTTTTGAGACAGGGTCTCCCTGTAGCGCCAGGTGGCCTGGAACTCACTATGTAGACCAGGCTGGCCTGGAACTCACAGGAACTCACAGAGATTCCCCGGCCTCCGCCTCTAGTGCTGGGCTTAAAGGCGTGCGCCACCATGCCCAGCTCTCACCTAAACATTTGTGCAGGTGTATCACATAACAATTGGTACATACAAGTCATGAATATGTATTTTCTCAAGAGTCGTTTTCATTATAGTTAATCTTAGGACTAAAGTAGACAAATTCTTGGTGATCTTTGTGCTGTCTTTTTGAAGTTGGATAGTTGGACGTTGATAAATTTATTGCTCCAGATTTCTGTACATACTTTGAAATTATATTGCTGGAGTTATTGATAGGAAGAACCCTTTTTTGCTCTTTTGAGACAGGGTTTCAATTCGTAGTCCTGGCTGGCCCGGAACATGCTATGTAGACCAGATTAGAGAGATCAGAGATCACCTGCCTCCAGAGATTGCCTGCATCTGCCTCCCTAGTGCAAGGCATGTGCCATCACACCTGTCTAGGAAGAAGTACTTCTTGCAACTTGGTACTTAGTAGGAACTGGATACAATAGTACTTTAGGTGCTTTATATACCTTCATCGTTGAATGCTTGGGGAAAGAGTACATGGAAGGGAAAGATAATACAAGCTAGCGTTGTGGGGATCTTTATTCAGAAACACAAAAGTAGGCAATTTGGTTATAAAAATTTTATGTTAGAGTCCTGAACAAGTGCTTGGCTTGTTCTTAGATGATAGCAAAGTGCTTTGTAGTATTCTCTCATTTAGGCCTTAACATAACCACCCGTGTAAGGTTGATAACTTGTCTCCATCCAGGTAACAAGAAATTAGGTGACATAGCCAGTATGATTGTTGGAGTTTCAATTGAATTGAAGGCCTACTTGATGCATAATGGTTTATGAGTTTTAGAGGTCAGTAGACCTGAATTCCATTCCTTTATGCCTGTGTGAGCTTGGATGGGTAAAGTATTTTTCTAGGTGTGTTTTCCTCATCATTATTATTTTGGGGGGGGGGTCTTTTTGAGACAGGGTCTCCCTGTAGCCCCAGCTCTCCCAGACCAGGCTGGCCTCGAACTCACAGAGATCACTTGCCTCTGCCTCCCTGTAGCCCCAGCTGGCCTGGAACTTAACAGAGATCCGCCCACCTCTGCCTCCCAAGTGCTGAGATTAAAGGCATTCACCGCCATGCCTGGCTTTTTCCTCATTCTTTTCTTTTAAAAAAGTATTTGTTATTTTTTTATTTTATGTGTATGAGTGTATTGCCTGCATGTGTGTAAGTACACCCATGTCATGTGCAATGCCCATGGAGGTCAGAAAAAGGCGTCAGATTCTCCCCAAGTTATAGGTGGTTGTTAGCCACCATACCTGGGTCCTCTGCAAGAGCAGTCAATGCTCTTAACCCTGAACCATCTCTCCAGCCCCTTTCCTCTTTTTTTTTTTTGGTCCTTTTGAGACAGGGTCTGCATTCTGTTCCTCGCCTAGATTCATTTACCACTGAGCTCTTCCATTGGCCCTGATAGTCATAATTTTTTTTTTGGAAACAGGATCTCTTTGTAGCCCCAGCTGGCCTGGAACTTGCTAAGTAAACCAGACTGGCCTCCATCTCACAGAGATCCACCTGCCTCCCAAGTGTTGGGATTAAAGGCAAGTGCCTACAAGCCCAGTTAATTTTTTCTTTTGTTTTTTTGAGACGAGATCTCCCTGTAGCCCCAGCTGGCCTGGAACTCAGAAATCTGCCTGCTTCTTCCTCCCTAGTGCTGAGATTAAAGGTGTACACTACCATGGCTTAGCTCTTTTATTTTTTGAGGCAGGGTCTCACTGACTTTTTATTAGTTTTTTGATGTTTAAATTTTTCTTAGAGTAAATTCTAGAAGTGGGAATTGCTGAATTGAAAAAGAATATGGACAAGTGCTCACAATATACCAATGAGTGAGTGGTTCACATTCATTAGTCCTCAGTCATATTGAGGAACAGATATTTTTATATGGATCTAATGACAGCCGAATAAACATACAAAATTTATTGTGTAGCACATAGTATTATGGCAGAGATTAAAACCTAAGTCTGTCGGGGCTGGAGAGATGGCTCAGCGGTTAAGAGCACTGACTGCTCTTGCAGAGGACCTGGGTTCAATGCCTGGCATCCACATGGCGGCTACGAACCATCCTTAACTCCAGTTCCAGGGGAATCTGAAGCCCTCTTCTGACCTCTGGCATTGCACGGACATGGGTGCACTCACATACATGCACACAATACACTCATACATAAAATAAAAATAATAAAATTTTTTTTACAAAAACCTAAGCCTATCAACCCCATAATCTATACTTTTACTCTGTTGATTATTATATCTGCAATATCTACAGTGAGGCTATTTTTTTAGGTGATGGAGAAGATCAAGACTTCATCTTTGTGATGATTAGACTCTGTTTCAGTGGTTTTGTTTTGCTTTTTGTAATTTTTTTTGAGATAGGGTCTCTATCCCAGGCTGGTCTCTATCTTGCAGTGATTCCTTCCCCTTTAGCCTTTCAAGTATTGAGGTTATAACTGGCCTGGAACGCACCTGCCTCTGCCTCTGCCGGGATTAAAGGCATATGCCACCATGCCCAGCCTGCTTTTCTTTTTTTAAATTTAAAAAGATTATTTTTTTGACTTTGTGAGACAGAATTTTCCCCAGCTGGCCTGGAACTGGAACTTGCTCCGTTTCTTTTTCTTCTTTTTTTTTTGGCCTGCATGTAAGTGTGTGCAGTGCCCACAGAGGCCAGAGGAGGGAATTGGAGATTTGGATCAACTAGACTGGAGTTAAAGGCAGTTGTGAACTGCCCAACATGGATAGAGGGAACTGAACTCAGGTCCTGGAAGAGCAACAAACACTTAATTACTTTTATTTATTTATTTATTTATTTGGTGTGTGTGTGCACGCTTGTGTCACAGCACGTGTAGAAGTGATAGGACAACTTGTGGCAGTCCTTTACCTTGTGGGTACTGGTGATTGAGCTCAGGTTGGTGGCAAGTGCCTGAACCTGCTGAGTCATCTTGCTAGTCCCTGTCATGCAATGCCTGCAGAGATCAGAAGAGGGCTTCAGGTTCACTGGAACTGGAGTTAGGGACAGTTGTTAGCTGCCATGTGGGTGCTGGGACTCGAGCCTGGGTCCTCTGCAAGAGCAGCCAGTACTCTTAACCACTGAGCCATCTCTCCAGCCCCTTCTTTGTGTTTTTAAAATGTGCTTTAATAATGCAATAGGGATAATTTGGGGGCAGTCATTTCAAATTTTTATTTTGATCTTTGTGGGACAGGGTCTCCCTGTAGCTCCAACAGGCTTGGAACTTGCTATGTAGACCAGTCTATCCTTGATCTCACAAAAATTTGCCTGCCTCTGCCTTCTCAGTCCTGGGATTAAGATGTGTGCCTCCACACCTAGATGTGGGAGTCAGTTTGGGGGAAAGATTTTTAAATATTTGTAGGATTGTTTTGCCACATGTGTGCAGTGCTCATAGAGATTTAGAACTGGAGTTAAAGTTGTGAGCTGCCCAGGGACCATTGCAGAAGAGGGGGCAGAAAGATTGTAATCCAGGGAGGAGGTGCATGACCATACAGAAATAGTCATACAGTCGCCTGGGACCTTTCTCTTATATAAACCTACAGCAGTAGTGTCAGCATGCACAAGACCTGTGCAAACTTAGGCAGACAAAAACCCAACACAGAACTGCGGAAATGAACAGCAAGCCCCAATCTTATTGGCAGCTTATTACTGCTGAGTGAGGACTTGAGGGGCGAGACTCTAGAGATAGGCTAACTGAACCCCTTGGATAAACTTTCGCTGAAGGACATCTCGGGACACTTTACATAGTAGGCCTTAATACAATGTATGAACAGAGTGTATAAACTCCAGTGGGAGGTGCTATGGGAGGGTGCCAAGGGGGTATATAGCACACAAAAATTCAATAAAAAACTTATAATAAAAACCCAAAAAGTTGTGAGCTGCCATGTGGGTGCTAGGAATTTGGGAGGGGAGGGGCTCTCTAAGCTTCCCAAGTGCTGGGATTTA